AGGTATTTAGGGTGTTTCAGCTTATTCTACTTAAACAAAACATTAGTGTGTATGTTTCGCTTTTAAAAAAGTTACTAAACGGCCCATTCAGTTCTGCCTGTTTTCAGTTTCCCTGATGTTGTGAAGATTACATCGGTTGTGCCTTTGTCAAGTTATGTTTGATGCGGCAAATTATAGGCCACCAAGATTTTTCATTGCTACGATGTTTAATTTTTTCGGTCTTATAATCTTCCGTTATCACATTTGAAGAGGTAATTCATGCTTATTAATAATAATAATAATAATGCCTTTATTGAGCTACACCTTACACGAAAAAAATTGTTTTTATTACCAACTACTCACTACTCAAAGGGCAGAGTTCAGATTGTAATAAAAATTATTGTGAAGGGTATAATGTCAAAGATTTTACAAATGTAAATATCTAATCGCAATGGATATCACATGAGTGCGACTCTGTATATAAACGAACACTTGCCGTTTCTCTAGCCACGTTTTAATCGGTGTCGCATCCCCTACGTTCGGTACCAGAACCACTATATTTGAACGGATTTGTGGCGTGGAAATTACACTTTAAAGGTTAACTCCAATAAATATGTGAAACATCTTTAAAGTAAATTATTTTATTTTATATGCACCTATTTTTAAAAAGAGTTCAAATACCTCTACGCATAGGCAAAATGGCGAACAGCAAATTTGAATATGTGAGAAATTTTGAGTCTGAAGACCGACTTCTACCAAATTGTTGGATCATTGTGCGAATAGATGGCAAGAATTTTCATAAATATTCCTCTAAGCACAATTTCACCAAACCCAATGATGCTCGAGCTTTAAACTTAATGAATAGATCCGCTTTTTGTGTAATGAAGGAGTATAAAGACATTGTATTATCATACGGCGAGAGTGACGAATACTCATTTGTGCTTCGTAAAGAAACTGAACTTCATAACCGCAGAGGGACAAAGTTATTGACACATATTACCAGTTTATTTTCGTCGTCGTACGTTTTTCATTGGCGCGATTACTTTCACGACCAAAGCATGTTATACCCACCGTATTTTGATGGTCGTATAGTTTTGTATCCCAGCGATAACAATCTAAGGGATTACTTGTCTTGGCGACAGGTTGATACTCATATTAATAATCTTTACAATACCACTTTCTGGAATTTGGTGCAAAAGGGAAATTTAACAAACAGAGAAGTAAACGCAAAAGCACTAAAGTTGGTAGTTAAAATTGGAATTGTAGGCTCAAGAACGGTTATCTGGAACGTTCTCATCTGACAAAAATGAGATATTATTCAGCGAATTTGGAATTAATTACAATAATGAGCCTATTATGTTCAGGAAGGGCACAATATTATTGAGAAAAAAAATTAAGAATCCCCATCGTGACAAGTTACATCAGGTTGTTCTACCAATTTTTGAAGATATGATGCACGATGAATTTTGGATTCAGCACCCTGAAATCTTGTCGAATATACCTAATGAAGGTTACAATTTAGGAGAAGGGGATGTTCATGAATTGGTGGAGTTACAATTCCGATTAAATAAAAGACGAGATAAAAGCATTATTTCCATCACAGAATAATCAATAAGAAAAATTACAAACAGCTGCTAACAATTGTTTCCAGAAACTTAGCAAATAAACTAACATTTCATTGTACACTATTAGCCTTATATTCAGTTTATTAAAACACTGTATTTAAAAACATCAAAATTTTCTATTAATTTTAACACCTTGTCCTTATGTATTCTTGTTGATTTTTCTTTGTTCATGTACTTCCTATCTGTTGCACTCTCTTTTCTTATGCAATGATTGTGTGAATTTGTTCAGGTTTTTGGTCTTTCTTTCTGTACTGGTATTACTTTACATATTCTAGTCTTAATTCTTCGATTACAGTTTCATTTCGTATTCTTTGGGTTCTATTGATTTCTTTCTTTCCATGTAACTATTTCATGTCGTTTGTTGTGTTTAGCAATTCTTTCGTTTCCATATATTATTATCTGGCTTATTTCTTTTTTGCCTATAAATTAAAGTAGTTTCTGTGCATGTGGCCCAATTGGTAGCATTTTGGATTGAAGCATTTATCATCTTGCTCCTATACCTTTTTGTTTGTTTTTTATATCTAATTCATTGGATATATCCTTACATAAATGTCACTAATTAAAAAAAAAATTCCTAACCATTAACAGAACAGCTTATAGCTAAAACCATTGACAGGGCCAATTGCACCGTCAAAATTAAGTATCCCTTAAAGTTAAGCATAACTTAAATACCATAGCAACGATTGTCTTAATAATCATTGCCATAGATTTTAAGTTCGACTTAACTTTAAGCAAGGCTTAATTTTTTTGGTGCAACTGGGCTGAATAAATTTTTATTCAACGCTCAAACCAAAAATCGCGTTTTTGGAAGTGTCTTCAAAAAATGGTACGTGTAGGAAAAACGTTTCCCACAAAAGTTTTATTATTTTCCAATACAGAATAAGAGTAAGTACTCAATAAAAAGTATAGGTATCTATTTGAACAAATTGAAGTTACGGAGCAATTAGAATAGGTAGAGATGGAGACATCTACAGGTGCGCATTATGGCAAAACGCCGATTAACAATCAACTGACGTCGCCTGAATGTTGAACCGCACTCGATTTTAAAAATGAGTCATATGCAAGTATACGTGGGTCATAGTATACCAACTTTTCTTCTGCTTATGCAATAAGCCACGGAATGGACGGTGTATTATTTTTTCAACCGAAGTCATTTTATTTATTACAATGACGGCGATTTTTATAATCAGTGAATGTTAATAACAATAATAATATAATTTATTGTGAAAAACAAAGAAAATTTTCACAAATGGAACAGAGTTCGCCATAGGCGATCTTCCACTCTTCCAGTAAAACTGTGACATAATATGCTTAAATCAAAACAAAATTCTTTGACATGAGACGCATAACATGATCTAATTAACATAAATATACATGCTTGGAAAAGACTAAAAAATAATGAAAAAAAAATCAAAGAAAAAAAGAATTGCACATTTCGTACCTATTTAAACATTATTAACAATGGTATTCTAAAAACTCGATTTGCTTTTACTTCAAAAATGTTCAAAACACATGTCAAATATTATTTTTTTGAAATTATCCAAAGATAAATTTAGGTATTCGCTTGAATTTGATTTAAGGTTGAAACCGCAATGTATGTGAAACTGCCTCGAAATTTTGTTGTTTTGTTGTTAAGTGATAGTTCCATGGCAATAATTACGAATAACCAGCCCACTTAATTCGAGTATAACGTCAGTATGATTTCATTTTATTTCCTTCATTTTTAAATTATTTGCAGGTATATAATTAAAAAAATTCGTTTAGCCGCTTTGTGAGCATCAGGCGAAGAGTGCACTTTCAAATTTGTTTTTTTCGGTTTTAATGGCCCTTATGGACATTTCATGCCTTAGGAAGAATACAAACATAATAGTTATTTATGTATTAAGGGCATAATAGTGATGTTTATATCCTCAAGGGCGACGAGTTAAAAAGGTCGAGGGCTTATGGCCCGAGAGCTTTTTAGTCGCCCGAGAGTATAAACATCAGTTTATGCCCGTGGTACATACACAATTTTATGTCTTACAAATAGTTTTCTTCGTCAAAGTAAATATTCGTTTACAAAATAATTCATTATGTTTGATCATCAAGTATGCGTGGTTCGAATTTGTTAATGTGATTGAAACCATTCAAACGTCAAACATAATTTTAAATAATTCAATTCATCGTGAATGAGGATGAAGTTCCAGAAACTATACGAAAATAGGCCAATCTTGTGATTTAGTAGGTATTGACAATTAATAATTGACGTTTCTAATTTTCAATGACTTGCAAAAATTTGTTTTTTTTGTCACTAAGTATAAATGAGTTACTATGGTGATACTTAATGCCCTAGGTCATAAAGTGGTACTTTATGCCCGCGTATCACAGATGTAAAATGTGATATGATAGGTTAGTAAGACATAAAATAATTTTTTATTTCTGATCGTATGACACCAATACCAAAGACTGTGGTGTAGTTCCGGAGGTTTTGTGACTCAGACAAACAGACAGGCAGACATCAAGAGGGAAAAAGTGCACTTTTTATTTTTTAAAAGTGAAAGTGCACTAAAAATACTAAAGATACCTACTGTATAGGTAATATTGGTCGGTCTTTTAAAGAACTTGCAACATCTATAAAGGCAAGACGCGCTGTGTGTGCTTTAAAGACTTGATTATTTAAATTTAAACTTGTTTAATTTAAACTAGAAAGTATACATAAGAGAAATTGAAAGCAGAAATAACTCGCCAGATAAAATACTATATTAATGGCCGTATGCACCGTAAAAATTTAAGCTGAGCTTAGCATAAAATCATTAGCAACCATTGTCCCAATATACATTACCATGGATATTAAGCTACACTTAAACTAGGCCTGCTTAACCTTTTTCTGTGCATACGGCCATTAATATAGTATTTTATCTGGCGAGTTATTTCTGCTTTCAATTTCTCTTATGTAAACTTTCTAGTTTAAATTTTCCTCTACTTATTAAGTTGATCTTTCAATATTACTTTTGTTTGCCTCTTTCTACTTATTCGTTTCCTTATTCCATCTTTCATTTGTTTTAACACTTTGTAAGATCTGATCCATATTCCATATTAGCATTTTTGTTCTCATCTTTTTACAGTTAATTTACATCTGTCTTCCTCTTCTAGACAAACACTATATGTATCTCATTTCTTCCTTTCATGATCGTATTTTCATAAAAATTTTCCTGGTACAATGCGAAAATAGCATTTTATATCATGCTCCGCGTCCCATTTTTAATAAGAAGGGCACACACTATGAAGATGCTAGTATCACAAATTGCAACAGGTTATAATGATTCTAGAATACATGATGCACGAACATGTATTAACATCTTGTGAAATATATCAAACGAAGGTAGTTTACAAGGGAAGAAATGTTTGAACCATTACTTATACAACAGAATAATTAAATTTTTAATATCGATAACAGAAAAATTACAAACAGCTGCTGACAACTATCGGGTATTTCCATAAACCTAGCAAATGAACTAACATTTCAATGTAAATTATTAGCCATGTATTCAATTAATTAAATTGAATTTTTGTTAGAACAAGACGATAAGTCTGATCATCCCAAAAACGGATGCTGTGTTTGGCTAATTTTTACATTTTCAATGTAATTTTGTAAAATTAATAAGATGTGATTTGAACAACTGATAAATATGGTCACTATTTACATTACAATTAATTACATAATATCCTATTATAAATCAAAGAAGAAACATGTGTTAAATGTTCATGTGAAAGTCTGTCTTAAATGTTTCTTGGTGTTAATCATGATGAATACTGTTTAAAATTAGACTAGTAATATAAATTGTGGTTTACAATTACAACACAAGTTTCCTCTCTAAATGATAGCCTTCTACTAATTAAATCGCACAAAACGAAATCTCAATGGAATGATTAAAATATAGGGATGTAGTTATCAATTTTGGCCCTATGTTTTTGAGCAACACACTCTGATATCCAAACAATATTGCGACACTCTTGCTCCTTTAACTTTAGGTAGGAGTAGAAAACGCCAAAATGAAACTGTTGCAAAAATGCCATAACGTTCAACTTTACCTGTAACAGAATAATGTCAGTAAGGACACGGAGAGAAAGTGCAACTTACTTCATGTTCGAAAAACTTGTCCTCCAAAGTTTTATCGCCCGGATTGTTCCCTGCACCTTCAAACAATTTGGAATACTCTGCATAGTATTCAGCTACCGCCTTAACTTGGTCATAATCCTCTGCACGTGCCAAGGCAGCAAGTCCATCAGGATTCAGCTTGCCACACCGCGGGTAGAGTTTCGCACGATCATCCTTGCTCAGTTCGGTCCCAAACGAATTGATAGTTATTATAATCGCACGACGATCAGCCTCAAACTATTCGGCTACATTACAAACCTAACAAATTACTAACAGCTTACCGCCAAAATTTCGCACATGCAGTCTGCAGTTGTCCCCCCAATTTCTTTACAAAACTGGAAGAAAGCCTCCAAGTACGCCTTATACAGGGTGTTTCTTATAATCTCAATGTTCATTTCGTCCAAATCCTGCTCGCTTATACAATCGACGAAGAACGGAGCAAGTGGGGTGTCTACTAAAACTGCATTGTACAATTCGGCCGGAGTAGCGGCGACATGAATGGCCTCCATTTGTTCAAAGCTTCCCAACGGATGGCATTTGGGAATCAATTCGGAAATAGGTCGTTGATGTAAGGTGCCCGTAATTAGTAGAATAATGTTGTCAATCATATAACTGTAAGTGATAAAGTCTAGGAAGGTTGATAGGGGCTCGACTGCGTGATTGCGGAGATGTTGAAATTCAATAACTAGTTTCTCGCGTAGTTTGTCATCGATTGTGGATACGGCAAGAGGAGACGGCTCGTTTGCCAAGAACGTACCATAATCCGTTCCCTGAAGATGTAGTTTTAAATCTAAAATAATAAATGGTCCAGTTGGGGATTAGCAGACAGAATTCCTACCTTCCAGTGTTTCACACTGCACCAAGTTTAAGTAGTCGGATTGTTTTAAAATTCCACATTTGAAGCCACGACATAAACCTTCTAAATATCCGCTGTCGATATTAAATATGCACCCTTTCATTTTTTTACAAGTGGAATTGACTGCTACTGTTACAGAAGTTAATGATTTTGGGTTTGCCTCACCCCAAATGTCATATGACAGTCAACTGATTGGCCACAAGGGGAACTGCGCCTGCGCAAATTTGTTGGAGACCCTGAAGCAGATCCGTAATGAAAAAATTTTAAAATTGCCAAAACTGGAGTCGGTATGGATTCGGTTTTTGTATTCTGTCGGCGTAAATGGTCAAAATTCATTTTTTTGCCAAAAAATTTTACCGTTGATTCCATCTGTCAAAAATCCAATGGATAAACTTAATTTTCCTATTTATACCGAAGGGAACCTTGATCTCCTGACAAATCTGTGCATGTTTTTTAGTTTTGCAGTCACCAGAGATATTTTTCGTGTCTACAGATCAGTGAGACGTTACGTTTTCCCTCAACCTTAATATTTGTTCAGTTTTGTTGATTGAACCATTTCCGCTACTTTAACACTAGAAGCGTGCGTGCCAACAACTAATGTATATATAGTAACCCATTTCAAAGTTTATTTTTGTATATAATAAAAATTCTGTAAATTTCTAGAACCTTGCTTTTTGTGATTTTAATTACGTGTATTATATTCCATCCTTTATCGTATGTGATCCATATGATAATTATTGGTTCCGGTTCCGCACTACTTAGGTAGAATTATAACTATATTAAAAATATAGGAAAAAAAATAATACACAAAATTCAAATACATTATTATTTAATCATATATTCACGTTTCCTATGTTTAATTGCGGTATAGGTACTTCTATTAGCCTTTAGCTATGGCGCGTTGCGTTCATTTCATCTCTGTCTTTCTTTACTCTCCTTTTCTTCAGCAGTAGTTTCAACTATTGTATTCTTCGCACATTCTTTTCAACCCAACCCTTACTATTTTTGATTCGACTATCTTAATTTTGGGTACTAGCATTGTTATACATTGTATAATCAATGCTAGTGATTATACATTGTATAATCAATGCTAGTACCAAAAATTAAGATAGTCGAATCAAAAATAGTAAGGGATTCTATAATACAATGTATAATCAATATGGTACTATATAGTCACAAATAATTGATATTACTTGAATTTCAGCATGACAAAATTTACACTTGGGACACCGGTTTTTGTTGTTCATGTTCATAAGCTACGTTTAGTCCTACCCTACCGATCTTGCATGTATTTTATCCTTATAATGATATAATCAGTAATGATTATGCTAAATCTAAGAAAAGTGTTTAACACCCACACTTTAAAACTAAATTTTGAGGGCAACAATAAACGGATTTCCCTTTCCCGGTTCCAAGTGAGGGGCTTATAAATTTAATCGGTTCCAGTACCGGTTCTCTTCGGTTCCAACCCCTATTTATGATAAGGAACTTTGTTTGAAATATAAATTAATCTTTAAAAAAAAACGCGATTTGACCAAATATCATCAAGTGTTTTAATTTCCAATTATCCTACCAAATATATGTATCATATTATACAATATATTGGTTTGACTTTTCTTACACTGTTGTGCAATTATTAACTATATATTTAGGTACAAAATTTTATAATAAGTATATACGAAACGTGTGGGAGCTTAGACGAACCACGTTTTGTATCCCATTGAGTCGTACACTTTAACCGACAATCTACGGAAAGCTTTGGCGAATGAAAAACATTTGCCGTAGCTAGACAAGCTATGGTCTCCCATACGCTACGCGAACTACGCTCTATGACGAACGTTCGCAGAATGCACGAAGCGTTTGGGACCAGCTTAACATTTGAAAAGAAACACAATCATATACAACATTTTCGAGTTTATATATTTCATCATAAGATAAGTAAACAAAATAAACTCATAGAATAAAAGAAACAATGAAATGAAAAAGTAACACGTTTGTAACAAAATAATAACTAAAAATAAATAATCTCTAGGTATGTATTTTTAAAATTATATCACTTGAGTGACATTTTCTTACTTAGTTTCAGATTATGGTTGAGAGTTTCTGGATCAAAACAATGGCGATTAAAACTAACGCAATGAAAAGCGAAGTTATATACGTGAACACTATGCAGGTCAGTAGTCAGTCACCATTAACGCTTTGAATAAAACTAACGCAAAGTGCGAACGATGCGCGACGGAGACAAGTTGGTGCTCCGCCAACTTGCATGTCAATTAGTAGCTGTGACAAAAATCGCAAATAGTCACTTGTTAATTAAATTTGTTGCAATTGCTGTATAAAATTATAATTCTCTTTTACATTGTAAATTGTGTGTGTTGCTCCAGAGTCCAGACACTGCAGTGTAAAATATGCAAAATGACTTGCATGATGTTGTTTATCAGTACTTAGATTTTTAGATATGAATTCTTCATGGGGTTGAGCACACATTTCAATGCATTTGAATATGATGACAAAAAAATCAGTAGAAGCAGAAGGGTTAAAATATAAGTTCATACTGTACATTTTATGTACTTATAAAATGCTATTTACAACACATCTTCAAACCACACCAACAATTATATGATGTGATAGAAGTCTTTTTACAACTTAGAAGTCGGTACTTCCTGATATGTTTCAATCACATTCATATTTTCTAACTTGGTAATTTCACTGGATGTATATCCTAAATCTTGCAAAATACTAATTGTATGCTGACCTCGTTTTGGAGCGGGAGTTATAGCTCGAGAAATGCCAGGAGTTCGACTTAATCTCGGTGCAGGACCGGGCACCAGTTGACCAGTTTCATGACTGACAACAAAAGTGTTACGTTCAGCATTATGTGGATGTGAAGGTGCCTCCTCCAGTGACAAAATAGGTGTAACACAAGCATCAGTCTTATCAAATATTTTACACCACTCGGCTTGGGTTTTTTGCAAGAATTTTTCCCTAAATACCTTCTTACACGCCTTATTGTCATCAAATTGAGATATTTCATCGTCTTTCAACTCCAAACCTTTCAATACTTGTGCATAAAATTGCGGTTCTAAAGCACCCACTGCCATATACTTCCCATCTTTCGTTTCATAAGTTTCGTAAAAATATCTACCGGTATCGAGTATGTTGTTTCCTCTAGAATTACCCCATATTGGTAAGTGTTGAGATCGATACAACCAACTCCCTACGTAAGCGGCACCTTCAACCATATTACAGTCGATTACCTGCCCCATATTTGACGACTGTCGTTCAAGTAATGCTAGAATGATTCCAAATGCGCACATTAAGCCGCCTCCTGCAAAGTCGGCTGCCAAATTAACCGGAGCAATAGGATTTTCCCCTGCACGTCCGAACAATGATAAGATTCCCGATAGTCCTAGATAGTTAATATCGTGTCCGGCACGTGGGGAATAGGCACCTTTATCACCGTAGCCGGTTAGACGGGCATATATTAATCGAGGATTTTCTTGTAGTAGTTCTTTCGGTCCAAGACCCAAGCCCTCCATTACACCGGGCCGGAAGGGTTCAATCACAACATCTGATTTTCTGCTTAGCTTCTTGATAATATTAACACCTTCTTTACTTTTTACATTTAACGCGAGGGAGGACTTCCCGTTGCCAACACAGTCAACCTCAACATTTGCCCCAATCTTAAACGTTGCATTTTCATAACATTCAGCTAATTAAGGTAATACGTACTCGATCTATCCGTGTAATTGCAGCACCAAAATCGGCCAGCACCATTCCACAGAATGGGCCCGGTGCGAGACCACCGAATTCGAGTACCTTAATTCCCTTTAAGGCCATACTACAAAGGTTGTTGCTACAATAAGAATGCTCGCTTAAAAGTGGTTTTAACTTGAACTTACCTAACCATATCAAATTTTTTATGTTTCAACTTTAACCCTAAAATTGTGAGCTTATCTCATTGAATTGCTTTTTATGTGTATGTGGGTCCTTATCGTACCCATAAATAAGCCACCTTACTTTATTTATGTTTCTTATCAAGCTAATTAACTAAGCAGTACTTATATAGTCCTTTCTAAGCAATCAAGAAAGGAGGCCGAAGTTTTTCTAACACAATATTTTAATTTGTGCTTTGAGTTGGTTAGGTTAATAAAACTATTTCAAATGTTGTCTACTGTTCAGTAAATAACATGAAAATGCATAAACATGTTCATTTATTCTGTATGACTGTATTAATCCTTGTGGTCATAGGTTAATTTAAAGGCCAAGCCTGAAGTCGTTAGCCCCTATAGTCAATTGTTTTCCAGGACGATAGTCGATAGGTACATGATTAACATGTGATGTTTTCTTTTTTGTGCAATTAACATTACCTTACCTCAAAACATCACATGATGAAAACATCCAAAAATCATCACACTTATAAAATAATAGCTCTATAACTGTGGGATGAGGTCATATGTGTAAAATGTAATGTAACAAGATATACTTATAACATAAATATTTAAAACATAATATACTATATAAACAATGGGTATTGTGAACATAGCGCCAATAAAGTAAGAAAATAACAATAGTAACACAGACAAAATACTATAATAACAAATACCTAGGTACCTATGTATATAAGTACTATATAGATAGATGTAGGAACTAATGACACATTTTCTTCTTCAACAATAATCTAGCAACAGTATTGGGTTGGGTATTACCCCAGAAAAGGGACAGGTGTAGGTATGACCATTGAATTTATAAGTTATAAATTCAATGGTATGTATGACTCAACAATTGTAAAAAGGTATCTAATTTATTGCAATAACTATATATAAACAGATATCCTAAACTGACAACTGTATACCTAGGAATTCATACAAATAAAAGAAACATAATCTGCAGGTCACACAAACAGCAAACTATAGCAATTATCTATCAAAATAATATTAACTAAATGAATAAAATAAAAAAACAATACTTACCTTTTTTTCTCTCGCATGGTTGTAGTTTTCTAAAAATTACAACTGCCGTTGTTTGTGCTAATTTTTAATGTGAGGTGTGGTACCCTGTGCTTATGTTGTAACATTGAATAAATTATTCAGTTCTAATGAATAATTAAAGCTTTATGTGCGTGCGCTTTGTCCACATTTCACATACTTATACCTATATAGATACAACGTTAATGGGATGTTACCTATTTCAAAAACAACTTTTTTTAGTAACTTTAAAATGGTAGAGATACGATTAATAAACGTATTAGTAGTTACATGAATGTCACACGTGAAGTTGTAACATTTAAAGATAAACACATTTGGTCTAATATCTAAGTCAGTCTGAGTGCATCAAACCATAGCATAATAATTAGGCCATGCATCAAACTATAGAATAGCTCGAGTAATCCGCCCCTTTGATGTCTAAAGCCGGCCATACACGGTCCAACGCCGTTGTACAACAATGTCGGATGGAATTGTCGTACGAAAATCGTGAAAATTGAATACAACCATACACGATCCAACAACGTCGTACGATAGAGTTGGATGTGATTTTTTTTAAAAGATCGTTCACACTGTACTCAACAGTGCTTGCGACTATGTCGGATGATCTTGTTGTATTAGGAACGCTTGCAGTTTGTGCATTAGATCAAAACAATAAGAAACGTAAGAGAAGGTGGTGGAGTAAAGAGTGGTTACTCAAAAAACAAAAATTTTATACTCTAACTGACTGCATTAAGAATATTAAGATTAACACAATATAATAATAATAAAGGTTTTTAATTTCGCTGTGTACACGGATTCTGTCGGACCGACTTGATTGTAAGCGCGCATACACGATCCAATTTCGTCCAACTGCGTCGCATACAACTCGATTGTACTGCAGCACTCAGACAAGTTTGATATTCATTCTCATCCAACCAACTTAGTCGGATGTGCCCATACACAATCAAAAATCGTACAACTTAGTCGAATTCGACAAGATCGTACGACGGCGTTGGACCGTGTATGGCCGGCTTAATCTTCATATTCTACCCTACCCTATTCACTTTGTAACAGTATCTTTGCAGCAGGCACAACCAAGGTAATGCGATTTTGTACTCTCATCCATATCTCTGGGTGTCTTTTTTTTGCCAGAGGTATCATTATTGTTCTCATAAACGAAGCTACCAATTCTTTCATCCTTTTTTCTTGCAAACATTACAAAAGATCCACTTTGAATACCATCTTCAACTGCAGTCTTGCCATCTGCTTGTCTATCCACATCACTTTCTGCCTCGACTTCTATATACAGTGAGTTTTTTTAAATGCGAACATAGGAGTTTGCATGCAATGTAATTTCCCTATGTTCGATTTAAAAAAAACACATCAATCTATGAGGTGTGCGCGGTTCACATTCCCACCAGCAAAACGCGCAACTTGTGTGACTATGAACAGCAATTCTATAGTCTTTATGATGAAGAGCACTTGGTAAGATTTGTTTAAAGAAGCCATGTGAGGCCATAGCAACTGTAGGATACATTTTTCTTAAACTTACGATAACATGACCTCCCAGAGCACGCACTGACACCACAACTCATTGTGAACCAACCTTCAATTATTTGTAGTTCATGTGCACCTGATATTCTACTAATTTGATCTATTCAATACATAAATGAAGAAAATAAATAACGAAAACAATTACAATAAATGTTCGAAGTGTCCTCCTTGACATTCTAAGCAAAAACAACCGATTTCGTAATTAAATTGGACGGCGGTATTTTTAAAAATGTGACAGCTGTCACTTGTATCTACTACTCATTTGAACTACTCAATAGATTGATGTGTTTTTTTTAAATCGAACATAGGCAAATTACATTGCATGCAAACTCCTATGTTCGCATTTAAAAAAAATTCACTGTATATTAATAAAGTAGGTATATAGGTATAGTCATTTATTTTATGTTAAATTTCAGAGTAATTGGTATATTTTTCCTCTCAAATTGATTTACTCGTATTGCAACTAACCTTTAACCATTGAATAAACTTTTTTGTGCCCTCGGCGCATTATATGCCGAAGTGACATATGTTTGTAGATTATTTTTTGCACTCGATGATCCACAATACATTGCAAGTTTTCATATCGAATTTGTTGATGTGAATTCCGAAATTCAAAAACAAAATTACGACGCGATTCATACAGTGTGTCCCAGGTATAGGATACACCATAGGGAAACGGTAATGTATTTTTTCGCGAAGTATCCACGAGGTCTTTGAAATGAGCTTCTTTAACGTAGTACTCCAATCTCTTTCTAGCATCAGGCAATTAGCGCAATAACGTACCTTACGTTGAACGCTAACTTCAATTACATATCAAAGACCTGCTGGATCCTTCGCGAAAGTCTCTATATGGTGCGTTCTCCCTGGGACACACGGTATAAACTAATGCTCTCTTATGGCAGTTTTGAGATCAAACAAAGCACTGATTAACACAATATAAATCAATGCTGCTGGCAAATGCAGGCGCTTTTTCGTTTGATTTCATAATTCCATGATGGCATTATCTACTTTAAAACGGGACGGGACCCATTTTTTAATAATTAGGGAAGTCAATAATCGGGCATTAAAAAATTACTATTGAAATTCCTATTCTATGGTGCGTTCGTCAAGCCACCACCCCGCATGTTAATTGTAGCATTGAATTTTTTATTCAATGATTGTAGCTAATGTCGATGCTCAAAAAAATAAATGTTGGACTTGTTAGGGACGCTGGGTTATTTGTGTTAGGAAACATGGGCGCCGCTACTAAAGGGCAAGGAGGGGCCCGGGCCCCTCCCTGGGATTTGAGAAATCACTTAATCCATTTTAGAAAATGTTGAAAGCTCACAATAAAACCAAAATACAGCCACCTTTTCCTGTCCCATCGCTGTTCGGTGACAAAGCAAAAGTAGGTAAACCTTTTATAACCTTATTGAGTTACTTCAATGTCCATAAAGTTCCCATGCATATTGTATAGAGTTATAGACTATATAGAGATTAAATTAACCGAAGACCGCAGGGTGGCTGTTTGTTTTGGAAAAACATCAATGACAATTTGTCATGTCACTTACATATTTCGGTTCGGCGCTTTTTAGCGCATTTTCTAAAAGAAAAACGAACGCTATTGTCCGCACTTTGTCCGTCTTTACCATTACTAGTCCTCCACTTTAGGCTTTTTCGTTGTGGTGTGTTTCTTATACTGTGTAGCACAGCCTCAAGACCAGAACGGCAAAAGACTTTTTGGATTAGTCACCCTTCCCGAACTATTACCGATTCTGTGCGAGGAAAATGCGCTTTCGTTGGTCGCGAGTGACCAAGTTTTTAACTTGTTATGGAATAGATGCACATAAAGTGATGAATATACGAAGAATCGCATACGATTCAGTAGGGGAATTTTTTGTTACTCAGCTCGTATTGTGAAACCAGACTTTTCATCCGGCTCATATTCAATAGCACTGATTCTCGAACTCGTAGAAATCGATTGGCGAAGATTTGACATCGCTGTGTCTTTTCGTTCTTGAGTTAGACGAGGAACAGACGCACAGGCAGACAAAATCATCACGTCAGAGGAATTTTTATTCTTTCGAAATAATTAGGTACCTACATTGTTTTACCCTACTCTACATTCCACATTGTAATCAATAACATTATGGTTGGTAATTTAGTTATAGTTTTGAGTAGTAAAATAGTTAAATGTTACAATTTGCCCTCGAATTTGCCTTACAGACTGTAATTTTTATCACCTGCACGTTAGTAAGGGAGGTATTGCATTGTGGTAAAAAAAGACCCCCCCCCCCAACTTTTTTACGCAAATACACGTTTTGAAGCACCAGGATTCCGATTCCAACAAAATTTTGATGATGTCGGTCTGTCTGTACAGTGTACTGTTATTGTAACCAAATTTGGTACACGCATATTCTTAGATATAAAAAGAAGAGCTGAAAAACTTTCGGGGAGAATAGCGTATATGCACAAGTGTGTTAAACTCTCATTAACGGCTAAACGGCTGAACCGATTGGAACCAAAGTTGGTACACATATTGTTAGACCTAAAAGAAGGTAGAACGCGCATATGCGCCGGTGTACGGGTGGTATCTGTACTAACCACAGCAAATTGTATAATATAGTTTGCTATTAATTTCATTTTTTT